CCCACTCTACATCCTGCTGCAGTTTGTAGAAGGGTGGACCATGAATGACGGGACTTGCAGTACCTTCACACACTTACTGAAACCACTGCAACCCTCATCCAATGACCAATAAAGACCAAACTTGGCACACGTAAGCCCCATGACCCACTCTACATCCTGCTGCAGTTTGGAGGAGGGTGGACCATGAATGATGGGACTTCAAGTACCTTCACTCACTTCCTGAAAACAATGTGACCCTCATCCAATGACCAATAAAGACCAAACTTGGCACACAGAGCCCCCATGACCCACTCTACATCCTGCTGCAGTTTGGAGGAAGGTGGACCATTGATGATGGGACTTCAAGTACCTTCACTCACTTCCTGAAAACAATGTGACCCTCATCCAATGACCAATAAAGACCAAACTTGGCGTACAGAACCCCCATTACCCACTTTCTCTAATAACCCGGGCACCGCCGGGTCCCCAAGCTAGTATATAATAAAAGTCAATGTTTGTATGCGGAGTACAGACGTAGTTGGTAGGTAGGGAGCATACATAGCCCCCATGACCCACTCTACAACCTGGTGCACTTTTGAGGACAGGCCATGGATTATGGGACTTCAAGTACCTCCACTCACTTCCCAAGACTGCTGCAACCCTCATCTAATGAAAACCAAACTTGACACACAGAGCACCCATAAGCCACACTACATCCCAGTGCTGTTCGGAGGAGGATGGACGATGGATGATGGGACTTGCAGTACCTTCACTCACTTACTGAAACCACAGCGACACTTATCCAAATACCAATAAAGACCAAACTTGGCACAGAGAGCCCCCATGGCCAAGTCAACATTCTGGTAAGGTTTGGAGGAGAACAGACTATGGATGATGGGACTTGAAGGACCTTAACTCACTTTCTGAGACCACTGTGACCCTCATCCAATGACTGATCAAGACCAAACTTGGCACACAGAGCCCCCATGACCCACTCTACATCCTGCTGCAGTTTGGAGGAGGGTGGACCATGAATGATGGAACTTGCAGTACCTTCACTCACTTACTGAAACCACTGCGACCCTCACCAATGACTGATCAAGACCAAACTTGGCACAGAGAGCCCCCATGGCCAAGTCAACATTCTGGTGAGGTTTGGAGAGAACAGACTATGAATGATGGGACTTGAAGTACCTTAACTCACTTTCTGAGACCATCTATCTATCCGTCCATCCATTCTTCTCATCCATCTCATCCATCTCATCCATCTCATCCATCTATCCATCCATCTATCTATCTATCTATCTATCCATCCATCTATCCATCTATCCCTCCATCTATCTAACCATCCATCCATCCATCCATCTATCTATCTATCTATCTATCTATCTATCTATCTATCTATCTATCTATCCCTCTATCTATCTATCTATCTATCTATCTATCTATCCATCCATCCACCCACCCACCCACCCACCCACCCACCCACCTATCCATCTGTCTGTCTGCCTTATTATCTATCTATTTCCATCTGTTTGTCTATCTAGCTATCTCTCTCTCTCTCTCTCTCTATCCATCCATCCACTCATCTATCTTTTCATCTGTCTATCTGTCTGTCTGTCTTGTTTTCTCTCTCTCTCTCTCTCCAGTCATCTATCATTCCATCTGTATGTCTATCTGTCTATCTGTCTATCTGTCTATCTGTCTATCTATCTATCTATCTATCTATCTATCTATCTATCAATCTATCTATCTATCTATCTTTCCATCTGTCTCTCTCTCTCTCTCCATCCACTCATCTTTCTTTCCATCTGTCTGTCTTGTTATCTATCTATCATCTATCTATCTATCTATCTATCTATCTATCTATCTATTCTATTAGGGCTGGGCGGTTTCGTTTCGTAATTTCGTAATTCGTTAAAAATTCGTTATTTTTTTATAACGAAGCGATAACGAACCATTCAGGAGCAACTAAAAAACGAAATGAATTTTTAAATTCGTTTCGTAATTGTTTCGAATTCGTTTTGTATTCGTTTCGTTATTGTTTTTGTATGTCTATCTATCTCTATCTATCTGTCTGTCTGTCTTTCCATCTTTTTGTCTGTCTATCTATCTATCTCACTATCTATCTATCTATCTATCTATCTATCTATCCATCCATCTATCCATCCATCCAGTCATCTATCATTTCGTCTGTATCTGTCTATCTCTATCTATCTATCTATCTATCTATCTATCTATCTATCTTTCCATCTGTTTGTCTTTCTCTCTCTCTCTCTTTCTCTCTCTCTATCCATCCATCCATCCACTCATCTATCTCTCCATCCATCCATCCATCCATCCACCCATCTATCTTTCCTTCTCTCTGTCTGTCTGTCTTATTATCTATCTATCTATCTATCTATCTATCTATCTATCTATCTATCTAATCTATCTCTCTCTCTCTCTCTCTCTCTCTCTCTCTCTCTCTCTCTATCTCTATCTATCTATCTATCTATCTATTTATCTATCTATCTATCTA